GATAAATTACTGATTTAGGATATGTATCTTTGGAGGCATTGTTCCTAGACATTGTAAAGCCATGCAGAATTTAGCAGCCTGAAAAGACCCAAATGGAAATAGGCAAGAGCTGGAAATTATTGCGTTAGTGAAACCCAATCAATGTCAAGGAAACAACGACCCTGCAAATGGTTAGATTTATCAACATTCAAGCTACAGAGTAAGCAAGTTTCAGTTTTTAACAAATAAACATATGCAAATACCCATTCCTTTCCATAGCTCAGAGTGATATCACCTTGTTAACATTCAGCACAAATGCTTATACCCATTTCAGTGTCATCTGGAGGGCTAAGAAAGGCTGCCCCCACACTCTGGGACTGGACAGCAAGGCTCTGTCACACTGTTCCCCCTGGGGAACTGACACTCCTGTGAGCTCACTGCCAATGCGGGGTGAGGCGCCTCCAGCACGGCACCTCACATACTGAATATTCCATCCTGAAGGAAATTCCGAAAGACACAGGAAGATCACTCCGACCCTGGCCTACTCACTTCTCTTTTGATGACCCTCATGTGACAGTGTCCTGCCCCATTCCTGAAGAATGGAATGTTATACCAACAGGTCAGGGAGAATCAGATAGGCCTTGCCAAGCTCTTCCCAGTGTATTACCAGTCAGTCGTGCCCTCTTTGTGTCACATGACTGTTCATTCTGTATCAAACCTAACAATACACTTTCCCATGGGTCTTTGGAACTTCGTTTCTGAATGCTCTCCTGTTACATAAAACTTACAGTAAATACATTTGCTTTGCTGTTCTCTTGTTAATCTGTCTATGGAGGTCTCAGCTATGAACTGTACTTGGGTGAGGAGAATTACTTTTCTTCCCTGCACTGCTCAAGTTATCCACTCTAAGAAAGAAGTTTATAAGCAAGTGATCATATATAGTTGTCATCATTAAATCCAAAGCTGAGCAGCCATGCTCCTGGTGGATTTGCCCTTGACCAAAGAAAATCCATCTTTATTGTCTCACTAATCAGCTCAAGAGCTCCTGATGAGGAAGTCTTAAATCTAAGTCCTAATAAAATCCCAACAGTTTTAGAGACAAAATGAAAGAATATAGCTCACAAATACCTTTTGACCAAGGGCTGGGAAACTGTTTTTGTAGTTTCCTCCAAAGACCTTAAATTAGTTTGAACTTGAAGGGAGAAGCAGCAGCATCCATTAGGACCAAGGTGAAATTGGCAAAATGAAAATTATGGTTATCTTATCAAAATGCTACTTTTGAATAGAGCCTTCAGACAAAGCACAAGTCTGGCTGGTACGTGAACCAGATAAACTTGTTATGCAAATAGCTTTAGCCATAGGGGAAAGGGCTGATAATGAAATCGCTACAAAGCCAAACACACATTATAGAGGTGACAAAAAACATCAGACAGGGCCCTAGTATATGGATAAAAAGCAGTGCAGAATTTATGTGAGCATGGCTTTTAATTTATCATAACTAAGCTGTCAAGAGTCCTGCTTTGACAAATGCATAACTAACACATATAAATGAGTCAATTATCACTAACAACCAAAGGTTCAGAACCAAACAGGGTAATGGTTTTTTTTAAACCCTAAGACAGGTTTGCTAATAGGATTTTAGACTTTTAGGCTCTCTTATAAAGCTCTGTTACTAACCCCAAATAAGGAGGCTAGAAGCAAATCTGAAAACACTAAGCTAAATGTCAGTGTTCACACTCCCTCATTTTCTCTGACCCTACACACACACACACACACACACACACACACACGACCAGGCCTCTGTCCACATTGTTATAACCACTAGGCTGCAGCCAAGCCAACTCACTAAGACCCCTGCCAGTAAGACATCCTCCAAGTCCCCTGCTGCAGTGCGCAGTGTGATCAACAAAGACCTAAACAACTGGGCCACCATGGTTCACCAGCCACATGGAGACAGGGAACCAAAGGTTTTAGATACGTTAAAAAATGTCTAAACCTGTTCATTCTTTAGAAGAATCAGTTCCGTTTCATATGATATTCTGTGCCTTGGTTTGCAAAGGCAAATGAAGCAATTATCGGAAAACTTCAGGTTGAAAATACTTTTCCAAAGTCACCAGATAATCATGTTCCCCACTCCAATCCTTCCAATAATGAAAAGTTTATAATGCAAGGGTCTTAATCCTCCATTCTTCCTTCCCAATATAAGCAAGGTAAGTATAAAAGCAAACTAAGGCTCTATCATTAAATAAGCATTGCAAACCCAAGAGTGTCATTGTTTATATTTAATTATAGATTTGAATAATGAAATCGGATTTGGCCAAATTGCATTTGGCAGGCTGAATGATGGCAGCCTAGATGCAGCAGTCTCATTTATGAAACTAAAGGATGCTATTTGGGAAGGCTGCTCTCCAAAGACATGAAATATTTTAGGAGAATTTACAGCTGAAATGTAAGATGTTATGGGAAAAACAGGATTGAAGAACTAAGGTCAAGAAAGAATCTATGAACGCTTATACTACATAATATTTTCACTTTAAAAACAATAAGAAAAACTTATTAAAGAAAAAAATTGATGACATCTCTCAAATTAGTAGTAAAGCACACAACCACTTAGTCTATTCATGCTCCTTGGTTCATTAGGACTGTTCAGACTCTTCCTCCCTGTATGACAATGTGTTTGCTTTGACCCTGCAAACTCAAAACCATTGTTGTTTGAGTTTACCCTCCATAATGTGCTAGGCCTTTTTCAAAAGTAAAACTAGGGGCTGGAGATGTAGCTCAGCAACACTACGCCTACCTAGCAAGCACAAGGCCCTGTTTGAGTCCTAGTACCAAGAAAAAGAAAAAAAGTAAAACTAAAATTGCATCTGGAATTCTCAAAATTACGGAAAACATAAGTAGGTTGGAATTGCCATGGAATAGGATTTGCCACAAGGGAATATCAGTGGCAGGGAGAAATTCTGACATTATATATAGCTCTAAAAGTCCCAACCCTGTCATCAATTAGAAACCTTTATTTCAAATCCATCCAAGCAACACTGTGCTTGATTTAAGAACACAAACGTACCCTTGAATAAGTACACTGAAGCCGAACTTATGAGTCAAATCACATCCTAGAGGCACCAGGAGAACTCAGAAATAGAAGGTGTATTAGTGAATATGTAATGGATTTTTCTAGGCCAACGTCTTGGAGAAGGTCAGTCAAGGGTATCTGTGCAGCAATGAAATGAAAAGTCTTTCATTTGTTTTTTGCCAGCAAAATCACTGGAAACTCAGCCCCAGGTTTCTCTCTGGGTGGTGTGAAATGTGATTCCAAGCCACCAGGGAGTCTTTGGCTTCTGTTCTCTCCACTTCCTCCTGTGGCTCCCAACCCTTGGGACATGGCTTTTCCTCTGTCCCCTGCTATTGTTCCTCGAGAGCCTGGCCCAACATCCCCTGACTCATGGCTGTGCCTGGTGCATTCTTTAAACTGTCAGAGTCCAGCTAGAGAGGTAAGGATACATCCCCCACCCCTGGCCTTGAACTTGGTGGTTATGTTCCTATATGGCCTCTCTTGGTAGAGTTCTTTGAGTTCTTTTCTGCCCCCTTCTCCTGAGGGACAGGGCCCAAGCCCTTTTGGATGGGATTGGATGGCTAAATAGTTTTAGAGACCCTGAACTATATTGCACTTGAAAAGAAAATGAAGTACAGGTTCACACTACTTATGTAACCCTTGAGGGGCCAAACATGTTTAGAATTTCAAATTATATCAAATTTTAGACAGGCAAACTGATACATTTACTGTATATCATGTAATATTCCTGGCAGGATCTGGGGCAGCACTATAATCAAACAGTAAAATATATACAGCAAAACACATGAATATTCACACAACCTAAAATAAATAATGACTATAAATAGCCTCACACTCATTCGGGTTACGCCTTGCCATTAAATCAGTTCATGTAAGGTCAGGTTTTGCTGCTGATCAGCTTAGCTACAAAAGAACTCCCATTTTTCAGAGCTCTTTGAATTTTGGGATTGAGGATAAGGGAATACAGATCTCTACTGTGATTAAGGAGAACAAATGAGACCTCTAGCTAGTTTGGTGGCCTAGACTGTGGCAGCGAAGTCCACACGTAGCATAAATGAGAAAACTGTGCGTTGACCTTTCCTATTGCATGTCTGTTAGCTACTTGGTCACTTCTTTTCTCTTTGCATGACCTGTGAAACCTGTTCGATGTAGGTACTGGGTGGGAGGCTACTTCTCTCCAGATCCTACCCAATGGCTTGGCTTTTAATGCCAAGGCTACAGTTCCACCTCCATGATGCACTAGGCCCTAGCCTGGGGCCTCATGGCCTCCTCAAGACTCTGCAGATTTGGGACCAGTAAGATCCCCTGGCAGAGCCAGACCAAAGCCTACAATCCCGGCAAGAGTCACCCTGTTAGAGTCACTGTTGGTTCTGCTGTCTTAGTTCTAGTAAATGTGGCTTAGTTCTAGTAAATGTTACTATCAGCTGGGATTTCATCTTGTTCTCCACACCATGAGCCTTGTCTAAGCTACCTCACTTCGGCGTCCCAGGTGTGAGTTCCTAGTTTGTCCCCTCAATCATCTCAGCAGCCAGAGGCCTGTCTCCACACCACAGATCCTAGAGCAAAGCCAGTAGCCATGCTGCAAAACTGGCTGGGTCTGTTTGCCTCTGTCTTTTCTCTGATCCCAGGGTGATCAAAGGATTTTTAGACATTGAATTTCCTCCTTCATCAAACGGCAAGATAGCAATATTAAGCCTACACCAGCATAGGTTTTTGGATAACTAGGGTTCATATCATTGGAAGGACTGATTATAGCCCAGTCAAATGCAATTCCTGAGTTTTCAAATCCAATAGAGGCATCTTCTATCATTTACTGGAACATATCCTGCATCCTAATGAGCTGGTAAGTATAACAACTTCTAATGTCGTTAAATTCCACAGCTCTGATTTCTCCAATCAGTGTTCAAACCCTGGCAGATTAGCAATTTTCAATGGAAGAAATACTCACTGTGAAATAAAGTGGTTGAATTCCCCACACCAGTTTTCTGGATGCAGTAAAGTAGGTGGAGGATTTCTGAAAAACAAAAACAATTTTTTTTTAAAAAATATGGTAAAATTTCAGTAAAAGGCAAAACAACAACTTGTCTTTATTGATGGCCTTGTATGATAGCTGTGATCAGTTCTTTTCCTTTCCATCCAGGGGAGGAACCATTCTCTGTGACAACTTACAAAATTTCATTGCCTGTTCCTATGGTCCCTCATTATCACTGACTGACAGCTTCCTGGGTCCCCAGCTCTCTCAACACCTGTGAAAGCTACACAGCTCAGAGACAGACACGAAATGAGGGGTAAGGCAAGTGTACAAGCCACATTAGGGAGAGCAGAGAAGCATTAGTGCTAAAAGAAAGCTTTAAGTATAGTGCCTGGGGCTTCAGAGAAATAGACTTTTAATTGTACAAGATTTTCAGATCATTATGATACCATTGGAATTAATTACGTGAAGCATCTAAAGGAGACTCATAAACGCATCAGTCACAATTTTTAACTGTTTCCCATGTGCCAACTTCTACAACAGAAAGCTGGCCAGTCCCAGAGGCTCCTGGGAAGAAAGGGAGACAGAAGTATCCTGTGCCTAATTATTGGGGGCCTAAAAGAAGAAAACAGCAGGCCAGGAAGAAGGCAGGAAAAGAGGAGGAGACCCCTACATATAACCCAATAGTTACCCCAAAGAACTCAATGTTAAAACAGCAGTTACTGTGTTACCTTTAATAAGATGTTTTTTTCTCCAGCCATTAATAAGAATAAGGATTTATGAGTGAGTCAAGTTTAGCAAATAAAAAGTAGCATTACTACACATTTAAATTATGACCGCAAATGTTAAGCCCATTACAAATAATCTTTTTTTTTTTAACCTGGGTTCTACCTGCTTCCAAAGCCACAGACTACTCAGCTTCGACAGGCAGTAGAATGGAAACAATAACTACTGGAAACAAAAAAGTATCAGATAGCATGATTGCAATTTGCCTTTCAATATCCATTCTCTTCTCATTTCTCATGACGCAGTTTTTATTTTGACACATTGCTGGCATAATTAAGACTACGGTTTCCTTGTTCCTTGACACTTAGAGGTGGACACATGAGTTCTGATCAATTATATATAAGTAGAATCGTTGTACGGTATTACTAGGAACTTTCCCTAAGAGACATGCAATCCTTCTTCTTCCCTCTCGTGCATCTTGGAGCATGAGTGTAATGGTCAAAACTAGAGCAGCTATTGTGGACATAAAGCAAACTTGAAGATGAAAGCTATGAGCTAAGCATGGCAGGGCAGATAAATGAGAAACTAGACTCATGATGACATTGCAAAGCTGCCACACCAGTTCTAGATTGTTTCTCCATAGTCCTTCTTAACAGGGGAGAGAAATAAGCTTCTGCTGTCTTTAAGGCACTGATGCGTGCAGCAAAGACTATGCTTGAGTCAAATAACATTTCAGTTACCTATCACATGAATAAAACACAATCTGATAAAGTGATATAACAAAAAACCAAAGTTATATGGAAGCAAAATTAGGGGCTGCTTACCCAATCTAAAAAGGTCCCAGAAGACTTTATAAAGAAGATGAAATTGAGCTGGCTCCTAACAATTAGGTTACATTTTTAAAGACAGAGAAGGAGAGGGATGCATTTTCAGGGTTATGAAACAATATGTACCAAGTTCCAAAGGTGTAAAGACTGGCAGATTCAAAGATCATGAGCAACTTAAAGGTTAAACTGCAAAGGATTCCTTGATTCTGAAGAGAACAAGAGGTGAAGACACAGTGGGAAGGAGGAATGGTAAGAGGAATGTGTGAGTCACTCGCTCTGCAAGGACTTAATGTTACCTTCAGATCCTCTGACTCAAAAGCCAGAATGTCAGTGATCTGGGTTCTCAGCTAGGAAGTGGTGAGGAAAAGGGGTCCCTCTACTATTCTGAAGGCTGCCTCTTTATCTCGTTCAATCCATTCTGCAGAATCTGCTGTCTACTTTCCATGGCAGAATGTCAGCTTCAATACTGGTTTCACTGCCTCCGTCTCCTGGCTCCAACTGGCTGCAGTCAAACACCCACTTGCCTGCCTGCTTGGTTCAGAAGGCAGCCCCAGTGCTGGCACTGAGTCTCCTAGGTTCTCCCTCCAGCCCTGGGCAGGACTTGCACCTGCCTTGATCTTGTAGGGCTTCCTGCTCACCCTGTTCTCACTGAGATCAGTGACCCAAGAGAATTCACTACTAATAGTTTCATTCACCCCCAGGCAGCTACAAATGTCCACCAAGAGGTCATCTGTAGAAAGACTGTACACAGTCAGTTGCAACACTACCAGCAGGCCCAGTGCTGGCCTGGCCTCTGGGACTTCCAATGATTAGGAGCATCGAACAGCAGTCTCCCTTTCTGCTCAGGAACTCCTTGGGGTCTGGAACATTCCTTTGACTGTAGTGCATCCTCCAGTTTGGAGGATCCCTTCTGAGATTCAAGAACGATCTGGCAAGGGCCCAGTGAAAAATGGCAGCAAGTGTCCACTACAGAATAAAGAACTCTGCACCTTCCTACTTTCAGTCCAGTTCCCAGCAAGCACTAGGGCAGGGCCACTGCTTAGGTGCCAGCCCCCCAAGTCACAAAACACCCCAGTCACTTGAGTGGCTTCTCATGATCATCACAAAACGATCATGACGTCTTCAAAGACATCTTCGAAGCTTGACATTAGAGGAATTTGATCAAGAGGAGCTCTCAGTCTTATAGAGGTCCTGCTCTTCCTGAGGTCTATCAGCTGAAAATCTTGTAAAAGATGCTCATCTGTAGCTTGACAGCTATAATCTTCAGCTATTTGAGAGGCCAAGGAAGAAGAATTAGAAGTTTGAGTGCAGCTTGGGCAATTTAGCAGGACTCTACCTCAAAATAAAAAATAAAAAGAGTCTGGGGCTATACCTTATTGCTACCTCCATTCAATTCCAAGAATGTTAAAAAAAAATTCTTATCTGTGTACAGTGGAAATCAATAAGAATTTGAAGACTATAGCTCTTTGTTCCTGTGGCAATACAAATCCTGGTTTTCTTACAATCCAGCAAGGACACCAAACAAAAGCAATGATACCTTGTTGGCTCTCCCAACCCAGTGATGTAAACTGCAGCCCTGCTGGAGGTCTCTCTCAATGAGATGCTCAGAGAGCATAGGCAAAAGGATGGGCGGGTCAGCAGCAGATATGTGCGGAGAGGCTATCAGTGGACAAATGGTGAGCAGTTGGAAAGTCCACAACATTGAATAACTAGCTCTCCTTGAATAATGTCTATAAACACACCAAGGCAATGCAGAATGCAGATGAGTCTGCAGGAAGATGACTATGTTCACTCTGGGTTCTGCCTGCCTGGACTTTCTTCCTGTAGTTTGGATCCCAAATATAAGTCCCACAAGGGCGGGCTCCTTTCTTCACACAGCATTAGGCCTACAGAAGGCTGAGATGGACGGGTGAAGCTCCAATCTTCCCACTCTCAACACGACTCTGGGCCCAGCAAATGCCATCCAGGTAAAGTTTACCTTCTTCCTCCAAAGCTTCTGTGGAACAAAATGATTTGCCAACCACTCATATCAGGTTCATCATGGTTCCTGAAACAAAGAAGCAGTCGACTGAACTGTGGTGGGCACTCGATCTTAGGACAGCCAGTCCTAAATTCATTGAGTGACCCAAGCTACAGTGTGACTCCAAATAGGATGGGTCAACCCTGTTCTTTTCAAAAGTTTTTGTTTTAAACCTCCAACTGAAAACCCCAAAAGAGCAGGTGCTCGGTAATGGGAATTAAAACCAAAACCTCCTCAAAGAGGCAGCCTGGAGGGGCTCCTGCCACAACGTGAGGCTGAATTTTAGGAAGCAGAGATGATGAATAGGCAGAAAGCCAAGTGACTGGGAAGGGAGGAACCAGGTAGAGGAAAAGGAAGGCAAGTAACATAAGGGACAGAGACCCTGGAAGAGGGGCCAGGAAGGTCACTCCTGAGTGTTTTGTCCACAGTTACACGTAGAACACAGCCAGTTCCGGATGCTGCCAAAAGCCCTGTTCTCTTCCCACTTCACACAGTCACTGAGGGTCACTCTATGTCAGCAGCTGCCTTATCAGAGTCTCCTGCCTTGATTTCTCTCCTGCCTTCTGGCTAGTACATCTACTTCTAGATGGTTTCCAGAGATATCTTAAAGTCAATATATTCAAGACCAAATGCAACTTCTTACTGGGCCTGGTATCACACACCTATAATTCCAGCATTTGGGAGACAGGCAGGAGGATCGCCAGGAGTTTAAGGCCAGCCTGGTCTATAGAGCAAGACCCTGACTCAAAAACAAAACAAAAAAGACAAACTCAACTTCTTTTCTTAAAACTGCACATTCCTCCTAGTTGTAAAGTCAGAAACCTGAATGCTACATTTTCTTTCAATGGGCAAAGGCAGAACAGCTTCTACAAAGGTTTGTACATTCTATTCCTCAGAACCTGTTACTGCAAGAGCTTAGGGGCACTGAGCCTCAACTCATGTGATCAAGGTAGTACACCCTGCGGTGGAGAGGTTACTTGGGGATCTGGACAAGCCCCCAGCTTAATCTTGCAAGTCCTTTAAAGTAGAAGAGGGAGGCAGAAAGAGAGAACAAGAGTCAGGAGAGACCGACCGAACACGGGAAAGAAACTCAGCCCTCCATGGCTGCCTTTGAGGACAGAGCGGGGGGGGGGGGGGGCACTAAGAGTCCCTGGAAGATGCTCAGCAAGAAAAACAGGACCTCCATTCTACAAAAGTAAGGAAGCATGCAGACCAGGCGGGGCCCAGGAAAAGAGAAGCCAGTCTGTTCTTCCTATGAGTCAGTAAAGGCCATTCTGGGTCTGGGAAAAGCACATCAAGAAGCTGGCTTGATCTTCCTGTAATTGTGCAAGCCAGCTGGTGCCCAGGAAAACAGAAGTCAGGTCACCTTTCCTGCAAGCCAACCGGCACAAGGGCTGAGAATCAAGACTCTACTCCCTCCTCCCCCACCGTTACCACCACCACCCCAGAAAGCAACCAGCTGGGTCAGA